CCCCAAAACCCCAAAACCCCAAAACCCCAAAACCCCAAAACCCCAAAACCCCTCTATTGAGGATTCTCATTGAGTTACGAGATATCTTTACAAAATACCTAGGAGTATTAGAACAGACCTCTGTCAATCATGACCTGGTGCATGAGCTCTCCCATTTTGGATGGATTAGTAGTGACGCTAACTCCGTGCTCCTGAAGAGCCTCGATCTTATGCTCAGCAGTTCCTTTTCCTCCAGAGATGATGGCTCCAGCATGACCCATTCTCTTTCCAGGTGGTGCAGTCTTACCGGCAATGAAGGTAACAATAGGCTTGTTTTCTGTGTTATGATCTGTTAACCATTCAGCTGCTTCTTCTTCAGCACTTCCTCCGATTTCTCCAATCATGAGGATACCCTTGGTCTCTGGATCTTTAACGAATTTCTCTAAGCAGTCGATGAAGTTGGTTCCGTTGAAAGGATCACCACCAATACCAACACAAGTAGATTGTCCAAGTCCAAATTTAGTAGTCTGGTCAACAGCCTCATATGTTAATGTTCCTGATCTGGATACAATACCGATGCATCCTGGAGTGTGGATATAACCAGGCATGATTCCGATCTTGCTCTCTCCTGGCTTGATAATACCTGGGCAGTTTGGTCCGATAAGTCTGGTCTTGGATTGGGTCTTCATAATCTGCTTAACTCTCAACATATCGTGCTGAGGGATACCTTCAGTAATACAAACTACTAGATCCAGTTCAGCTTCTACTGCTTCTAAGATTGCGTCAGCTGCGAACGGAGGTGGGACGTATATGGCCGATGCATGACATCCAGTTTCTTTCTTAGCTTCTGCTACACTTCCAAAAATAGGGAGTCCGAGGTGTTCAGTACCTGCTTTTCTTGGATTGACTCCTCCTACCATGTTGGTACCATAGTCAAGAGCTCCTTGGGTATGGAATGTCCCCTAAATGCTTATTAAAATAACCCTACGTGTTTTCCAGTGATTCCCTGGCAGATAACCTTTGTGTGCTTGTTCAAGAACACATTTGGTTCCTCTCCTTTCGCATAGAATCTCTTGGTAAATGAGGTAAATCTTGAGACCCCTCTCTTGACGAGATTGCTTCCGAACATGTTATATATAATCAGATTTATTCTATAAATAAATTATAGATCGGGGTTTTGGGGTTTTGGGGTTTTGGGGTTTTGGGGTTTTGGGGTTTTGGGGTTTTGGGG